TAGTTAAAAAACAATATTGTTTCAATTTTTTTAAAATTAAATTTAGATTAGTAATATGATGATGATGATGATGATGATGATGATGATGATGATGATGATGATGATGATGATGATGATGATGATGATGTTTGATGGCGCCCCGTTCCTCACACACGCGCTCATGCACATCTTCATGCCCCCCTCCCGCACACACACACACACACACACACACACACACACACACACACACACACACACACACACAATATTGTTTGACAGTGGAAGGGAAGGAGCATTCACTCGTACGACGAGACAGCGTCGAGATGGACTTGAACATGTTTGATGACGGCTCAAAGTTTACTGAATTTGGTGAGGCCTGAAGCTTTGCGTGCACGCACACATGATAGATATGCTTTGCCCCCCCCCCCCCCCACCACACACATGCACACACGCATGCACACTCGCACGCACACACTCACTCACATGTACTACACATGCGCTGTTTCATATGCACACGCTCACTCACACCACAGGCGATTCTGGGAAGCTCTGATCACCCGACTACTGGCTGTCCACCCTCCCCCTTCTCCTCCCCCTTCTCCTCCCCCTTCTCCCCCTTCCCATTATTCCCCATCCATGCATGCTTGCGACATGTCTGAGCGATCCTCACGTTGTTAAAGAGAGGTAAAACATCATCCGCAACACTCCTCGTGCGAGTTGTTCGCTTCTCAAAAAACAAAGCAAAGGTCAAAGAGGGGGGAAAACACAAACAAGACGACACAGCGCACCACACCATCACACCACCACGATGAGACGCAGTGCACGGCTGCGCAGCCTGCTGAAGGCCCGCACACAAGATCGCCAACAGCAGGAAGCAGCGACTGGCCCGTCTTCGCCCACGTCTTCAACGACATCGTCGTCTGCTACAACATGCAGCACGTCCCCTTCCTCTTCTTCATCTTCCTCGTCCTCATCGTCGTCCTCATCATCGTTGTCAACATCCGTGTCGTCCGTGCGCACGAAGCGAGCCAAACGGCAGTCGCAGCAACAGTCGTCGGCAAGCAGGAGCAGTAGTGCTGCGGCCACGGTACCGGCAGCGTGGGATCGGCTACCGCCGGCGTTCCTCGAACTGTTTCAGCGCAAGCAGAGCCGCGCAGGCGAAGACGACGAGCCGGGGCAGACCTTTGATGAGTACTTGACAGAGGCGAAGGAGCTTTCAAAGACGTACCGGCCACCCAAGACCCGCCGCGTAATCTACCTCCAGCCAATCGGCGACTTTTGTGACGATCCCCTTGACTTCGAGTGCCTGCAGCGGCTCTGTGCCGCCTTTTACGAGGGCATGGAAGTAAAGGTGCGCCCGACCTGGCCCATTGTCCAAGTGCCACCAGCGGAACAACAGCAACAACAGCAGCCCAAGACCAAGAGCAGTGTTGGCAATGGCAACGGTCAGAAACAGCAGGCAGCGTCGTCGTCATCGGCAACCTCAGCACAGGTGCCCGTCTCGGACACCGGGACCAGCAAGAAGACCAGCAATAGCACCAGCAGCAAAGGCGGCAGGGGCAAGAAGGGGGATGCCGGCGACACGGACACGTCGTCATCTTCATCAACGATGTTTGCGATCGAGACGCCCCATGGCTTCTTTGATCTTATCTCACGGCAGCGGGGACCGCACGGCGAGACGCAGTTCTGCTTGCACGAGTTTGTGGATGCGGTCCTATACAAGATACCGAAGAACGCGTGGTGCGTGATGGCGGTGACCATGCACGATCTGTTCGAAACCCCCGACGATGAGTTCTGTATGGGGCGGGCGTGGGGTGGCAGCCACGGCGGCGTTGTCGGCTTCAGGCGCTATGCACCAGATCTTCTCCCTCCAATCAAGCATGAAAAGGGGCTCAGCTCGCGGTCCTTGGTGACCTCACGTGCGGTGAAGACGCTCATCCATGAGATTGGGCACTGTTTCCTCATGGACCACTGCACGGAGTGTGTGTGCCTGATGAACGCCAGCTATTCCCTGGAACAAGACCTCAACATCCCCCTGTTGCTGTGCCCGACGGATCTGCACAAGCTGCAGCACGCGTTGCGAAGCACGGACATACGCACACGTTACCGTGGTCTTGCTGATGCGTATGCGCAGTACCCTTTGTTCTTCTCCCGCGAACGACAACATGTCCTCGCCGCCCTCAAGGCCTTGGGTTGAACGTGGCTCGTGTATGTGTGTGTGTGTATGTGTGAGCGCGCGCGCGCGTGTGTGTGTGCGCGCGTGTGTGTGTGTGCGTGTGTGTATGTGTGTGTGCGTGTGTGTATGTGTATGTGCGCGCGTGTATGTGTGTGTGCGTGTGTGCGTGTGTGCGTGTGTGCGTGCTGCGTGTGGCCTGTGTATGGGCGCTTTTCAATGTGTATGTCTGTGTCCATATGTGCACGCGCGTTGTGTGCCTGTACTTCCCTCCTGTGCATTTGCGAACGCCTCCGTTCGTGTCGGTGTCTTCCTACCATGTGCTATTCCATTTGTGAATAGTGTTTTCTTGTTGTGTAAGTGACTCGCATGCTTTGATTCTCCTCCTCACTGCCGTGTGTGTGTGTGTGTGTGTGTGTGTGTGTGTGTGTGTGTGTGTGTGTGTGTGTGTGTGTGTTTGTGTAAGTATGAGTGTATGTGAGCGAGTGAGGCAGAAAAATATACATACCACTGAGCTCTTAATTCCTCACCAAACCCGCAAGGAAACAAGAAAGATAACATTTTTTTTTTCCTC